GGCCCTATTGGAACAATTTTCAGCAAGGAAATGGATGCTTGCTCCAAGTATTCAACAATCTCACTACGACCACTACTATCATCGTGCTGACATGATCCTCCTAGCTTTGTACTGTTCTGGAGATGTTAAGGCATAAAACGCTCACTGTTGTGGCCCTTCCACAGGTGGTTCAGCTGCCGTTGTGGCAGTGGATGAGGCATCAACCAAGAGTGGTATGGTTCCGATACCCTCGTCTTCAGGACTTTCAGCACATGTGAAGGGAGAAGGAAGTAGGTAGCTAGGGTGTTCAGCTGAACCAGCATTGTTGACGGCGGTAGCGGCGACGACTAGGTTTGCCATGGCCCCATTCACTGCCTTCCAAACTGCCGCACGGTCTGTGTTAGTGGCATCGTTTCCTGCATTTAGCAATGCGGTCACGTGATGGGAGATGTTTGTGCTTCCCTCCTTGGCTTTATTGCTGCCTTCATTGGTACTGTTGCTGGTGCTTCCCTGGACAGTTATTGGTTAAAAAGAGGGGAGTACTGACTAATACTTCACCTAAGTCCAATTTCAGTAGACGGTGAAAATCATGAAAGAATAAGCAGTCTATCCCAGCAACATTTGTGCATGGTGAGATTCATGCACACGGTGGGAAGAACATACCCCATTTTTCTTTTTACGCTCCTTGGAAGGACCAGACTTGGAAATACCTGCAAATGCAAAAACAAAGAAGTTGAGCTTCAACATTCCTATGATCCCAACCTACATGAAGTAGCAGAGTAACAGAAGTGTATGCGTGTTTTGCTACATTTATTGAGTAGATTTGGTTTTAAAATTTTTGACTTCCAAACGATTTATGTCTGACAAAGAGCGCGTAGAAATCTTCGGTTTCGTCGCCGACTCTTCTGGTGATTTCAACACTCCCAATTATTGCTACAACTTATATCTTGGAGATAGTAAGGGAGAAATCATTAAACTCTTCTAACACCCTCATAGATAGGCCGCAATGTGATCTTTGGAAATGTCCCATACATAG